CAGCCTCAAATACATACTCAAATCTGGAGTTTTCTATGAATCTCCAGACTTCCCACCATCCCCTCCATGGGTCTTATTGTCATCTTTTTCAACTGCATATTATTTCATGATCCATATTTTAGGTCTATCCATATTATCCAAAGGGACACGGGTGGCGCTGTGGGTAAAAGCCTCAGTGCCTAGGGCTTGCCGATTGAAAGGTTGGCGGTTCGAATCCCCATGGCGGGGTGCGCTCCCGTTGCTCGGTCCCAGTGCCTGCCAACCTAGCAGTTCGAAAGCACCCCCGGGTGCAAGTAGATAAATAGGGACCGCTTACTGGCGGGAAGGTAAACGGCGTTTCTGTGTGCTGCGCTGGCTCGCCAGATGCAGCTTGTCACGCTGGCCACATGACCCAGAAGTGTCTCCGGACAGCGCTGGCCCCCGGCCTCTTGAGTGAGATGGGCGCACAACCCTAGAGTCTGTCAAAACTGGCCCGTACGGGCAGGGGTACCTTTACCTTTTACTATATTATCCAAAGTCTCTGTTACATTACAAGTGTTGTTAAGATCTTTATTTAAGATGCTTATTTGTTGTTCAGATCCTTATTTAAGTGGTCTCTTAAATAAGTTATCAAGAGATCAACTGCCTAGGGGTCTCCAGGGGGTTTACTATTATTATTATTATTATTATTATTATTATTATTTTCAATTTATACACCGCCCTATACCTGGAGGTCTCAGGGCAGTTCACAAACAAGACCACAACATATAAAATCAAACCAAAAACAATAACCCAATAAACACATTCTAAAAGCGTGTTGGATGTACTGTAAATCAGATCAACCAAAGGCCTGGTTAAAAAGGAACGCTTTTGCCTGGCACCTAAAGGTGTATAATGAAGGCGTCAGCTGAACCTCCCTGGGGAGAGCATTCCATAGACGGGGAGCCATTGCAGAAAAGGCCCGTTCTCATGTTGCCACCCTCTGGACCTCTTGAGGAGGCGGCACACGAAGGAGGGCCTCAGAAGATGATCTCAGGATCTGGGAACGTTCATATGGAAAGAGGCAGTCCTTGAGATATTGTGATCCTGAGCCATTTTATAGGTCAAACCCAGCACTTTGAATTGGGCCTGGAAACTAATTGGTAGCCAGTGCATCTGGACCAGGATCAGTGTAATATGCTCAAACCGTCTTGCTCTAGTGAGCAACCTGGCTGCTGAATTCTGCACTAGCGGAATTCTGCACCAAAGCGTCTTCAGAGGCAGCCCTATGTATAACGCATTGCAGTAATCTAACCTTGAAGTTACCTTTAAATGTGAACTGTATCAAATCTCTCCCCCGCCCCTGTTCATCTAGCTCCATACTGTCTACACTGACCTGCAGCTGCTTCCGTGTTCCATGCAGCGGACATCCTTAGTCCTACCTGAGGATGCTGGGGGCTGAGGCTGGAGAGGAGCAGATGTTCTGCCACTGGGCTAAACTTTTCTTGGATGTGAAAAGTTCTCCCTTCTCCCTTCTGCCGCCCCCCCACCCCAGACTAAGCTGCAAGGAAACGCTTTGGGGGCTCAAATCTTGATCCCTTTCTGCCTCTGGAATTACGCCTCGGACTTCTGGCCGGCTCAAATCTATCGGCCTGCCATTCGCGCTCCTTGCACCTATCGAGAGCATGGCCTTATCTGCTAGTCATGGGCTTGATGAGAAGCCGGTCTCCCTCCCTGCCTGCCTTAACCCTCTTAGTGGTAATCCTGCCTTTAATGCTGCTTTGAACAACTGTGCCGCCGAGTCGGCCGAAGCTGACCCTTCAGCCTGCGCGCTTCTGCCCATTCGGGGGACTCTCCGACTCCCGGCGAGATAACAGGAGCCCGGCAAATCCTCCCTGGGCAGCTAACGGGATTGTCACACTTAAGGAAGTTGAGCCAGAAAGCAAACTTTGGAGAGCGGTTCCCGGGCGCAGGATTTAGCTCAGTCGTGGAATGGCGGTAGGGGTGGGGAGAACCCAACCACGCTGTTTTCCTTCGCTTGGTTGTCCTGGATTCGTGTCATGCTACAGGATGGACACAGATGGATCAATTCACTCCAGCAGCTTTGGGGAAATGAGGAAAGGTCTTAGGTTTGTGAATCTGGGCTTGCTACAAAGTGCTTAAAAGACTAGTGGTTGCCAGGCATGCGAAGGCCCTGGAAGACTCTGCACAAACAGAGGGAGATACAGTGGTACCTCGGGTTACAGATGCTTCAGGTTACAGACGCTTCAGGTAACAGACTCCGCTAACCCAGAAATAGTACCTCCGGTTAAGAACTTTGCTTCAGGATCAGAACAGAAATTGTGCTCCGGCGATGCGGCGGCAGCAGGAGGCCCCATTAGCTAAAGTGGTGCTTCAGGTTAAGAACAGTTTCAGGTTAAGAACGGACCTCCGGAGCTAATTAAGTTCTTAACCCAAGGTACCACTGTATCTGGAAGGCACACCAAGTTGCAGAGGCATGTCGGTCTGTCTCTCATTTATGAAGTACTACTGATGAAGTACTACTGATGAAATCCTGGGTTCGAGAGGGCTGGAGCTTCCTGCCCCAAGACCGGCAGGAAACCTGAGCTGGGAAGGGTGGTGTTGTGGTCTAAACCACTGAGCCTCTTGGGCTTGCCGATCAGACGGTTGGCGGTTCGAATCCCCATGATGGGGTGAGCTCCCGTTCCTCAGTCCCAGCTCCTGCCAACCTAGCAGTTCAAAAGCATGCCAGCACAAGTAGATAAATAGGTACTGCTGTGGCGGGAAGGTAAATGGCGTTTCCGTGCGCTCTGGTTTCCGTCACGGTGTTTCTGTTGTGCCAGAAGTGGTTTAGTCATGCTGGCCATAAGACCCAGAAAGCTGTCTGTGGACAAACGCCGGCTCCATTGGCCTGAAAGTGAAATGAGCGCCGCAACTCCATAGTCACCTTTGATTGGACTTAACTGTCCAGGGTTCTTTTAACTTTACCTTTTTTATAGCTCAATGGTAGATAATCTGCCTTGGGTGCAGAAGGTAGGGTTGCCCTATTTCAATAAGTGAAAATCCGGACACAAAACCTGTTGAGGTTTTCTGTTCTTCTCCAAAGTTTTTGAGCTATTTTGAGCTTCAGACATGGGCTGCCATGGGCCCAGGTTTTCCTGGACATTTTTACCGATTTATGAAAGTTCCTCTCGGACATGGGCCCGGTCTTATTCAACATCTTTATCAACGACTTGGATGATGGACTCAAGGGCATCCTGATCAAATTTGCAGATGACACCAAATTGGGAGGGGTGGCTAACACCCCAGAGGACAGGATCACACTTCAAAACGACCTTGACAGATTAGTGAACTGGGCCAAAACAAACAAGATGAATTTTAACAGGGAGAAATGTAAAGTATTGCACTTGGGCAAAAAAAATGAGAGGCACAAATACAAGATGGGGACACCTGGCTTGAGAGCAGTACATGTGAAAAGGATCTAGGAGTCTTGGTTGACCACAAACTTGACATGAGCCAACAGTGTGACGCGGCAGCTAAAAAAGCCAATGCAATTCTGGGCTGCATCAATAGGAGTATAGCATCTAGATCAAGCGAAGTAATAGTGCCACTGTATTCTGCTCTGGTCAGACCTCACCTGGAGTACTGTGTCCAGTTCTGGGCACCACAGTTCAAGAAGGACATTGACAAACTGGAACGTGTCCAGAGGAGGGCAACCAAAATGGTCAAAGGCCTGGAAATGATGCCTTATGAGTAACGGCTAAGAGAGCTGGGCATGTTTAGCCTGGAGAAGAGGAGGTTAAGGGGTGATATGATAGCCATGTTCAAATATATAAAAGGATGTCACATAGAGGAGGGAGAAAGGTTGTTTTCTGCTGCTCCAGAGAAGCGGACACGGAGCAATGGATCCAAACTACAAGAAAGAAGATTCCACCTAAACATTAGGAAGAACTTCCTGACAGTAAGAGCTGTTCGACAGTGGAATTTGCTGCCAAGGAGTGTGGTGGAGTCTCCTTCTTTGGAGGTCTTTAAGCAGAGGCTTGACAACCATATGTCAGGAGTGCTCTGATGGTGTTTCCTGCTTGGCAGGGGGTTGGACTCGATGGCCCTTGTGGTCTCTTCCAACTCTATGATTCTATGATTCTATGATTCTATGATTTCCAATGGACGAATCTCGGATATGTCTGGGAAATTCTGCATGTATGGCAACCCTACAGAAGGTCCCAGATAGGGCTGTCAGAAGCCCTGGATAGGGCTGTCTAGAGCACACTGAACTAGGCCAGTGTTTCCCAAGCTTGGGTCGCCAGCTGTTTTTGGACTACAACTCCCATCATCCCTAGCTAGCAGGACCAGTGGTCAGGGATGATGGGAATTGTAGTCCAAAACCAGCAGGAGACCCAAGTTTGCGAAACAGTGAGCTAGGTGGAACAATGGTTTGAGTCAGCATAAGGTAGCTCCTTATGTTCCTCTGCCTTTTATATATATATATATATATATATATATATATATATATAATTTTATGTATTCCATTTGGACATATGACATGCAACAGTTACATAAAATAGGAATTAAAATAAAAGAAAGGTATAGGCTCAAATAAATGTTTCTGAATATATTAACAAAATTGTGCTAAAGTATATATAAAATAATTATTACAAATATGAAATGATGTATAAGAACGTGCATGCTTAGATTTTGCATATTTTGCTTCAATAGCAATTTATATGGGTTTTATAGGGATTTACAGGTAGTAAGGGGGGGAAAGGGAAAATTATAATATATACCTCATGCATGCCAAACTGTGCTGCAAAATGTTGCTATGTCTTCAGGGAAGGACCACAACCAGTGACAAAGCATGTGTCCTGCAGGCAGAGGGCCCTGGGTTCAATCCCCAATGGCACCTCCAGGTAGGGCTGGGAACATCCACCGCCTGAAACCCTGGAGAGCTGCTGCCAGTCAGAGTAGGTGACACTGATTCAGTATAAGGCAGCTCCCTAAGCCCTTATGTCCTCCACTAGGTTGAAATGGATCATTAAGGAAGAGCCATAGTACAGTGGCAGAACATCTGCCCTGCATGCAGAAGTCTCCAGGCTCAACCCCTAGCATCTCCAGGGAGGGCTGGGACATGACCCCTAGAGAGCTGCTGCCAGTCCATGCAGACAACACTGGAGTAGATAGACCAGTATAAGGCAGCTTCCTATGAACATTAATGCTGTTGGGGGTACAATCTTGGCTCCTGGTCATCGGTATCTCCCCTTTCTTCTTCTGGCCTTGAGGGCTTGACCCTTCTGCCACCCTCCCTCTCTGCCTTCTCTATCTCCTCATTTTATGTCCCCAGCTACACTCTCTCTCCCTGTCCCCCCCCCGCCCCCCGCCAGGCAGAACTTCCTGGACATTCCCTGCCAGCCCCTTTAATTGTCACCTTTCTGTTCTCTCCTTCAGATTAATCAAAGCCAGTCCCCCCATATTAATGGCACGGCACGGATTAAAATAATGCAACACATTAAAGATGTAATTTAAAATTAATAACTCATAATTATTTATCATGGTGTATCAGCGGAGCTATGAATTTCCCTGCTCTTCACGTTCCTACTTCCTCTTGTTCTCCTCCGCCCCCCTGCCCCCCGCCCGCTTCAATTCAGGCCATTACCGAGGCTCCGTTTAGGTCCTCGGATCTAATACGGTCCCTTTCATTCTGCCGGCATTAATTGGGATAAATCAGCACTTAAGGAAAGCCATCTATTCGAAAGGACAATTGGTGATCATTTAATCAGAGCTTTGCCTGAGTGAGAGGGAGGAGGGAGGGGCAAAACAAGGGAGCCCTTTGCCCCAGGAAGAGCAAGCGCCAGGTAAAATTTGGCACTCGTAAGATCCACTGCAGGAATCTTTAAATGGGCCAGTCGGACACCCTTGGAACTCCATCATTGAAGAAGCAATATAACCAGGAAGCGAACCATCTTTCCAATTGCAGAGGGTTGGACTTGATGCATAGCCTCCAACATTTCTCTGATGAAAATAGGGACGTTCTATTCAATAATAATAATAATAATAATAATAATAATAATATCAATAATAATAATGCACCCATCTGGACTGGGTTGCCCCAGCCACTCTGGGCTGCTTCCGACATATATAAAAACATAATAAAACATTAAACATTAAGAAACATCCCTAAATGTCCTCAGTCCAGTATACCTGAAGGAGGGTCTCCACCCCCATCGTTCTGCCAAGGGCCTTCTGGCGGTTCCCTCATTGCGAGAAGCCAAGTTACAGAGAACCAGGCAGAGGGCCTTCTCGGTAGTGGCGCCCTCCCTGTGGAACGCCCTCCCACCAGATGTCAAAGAGAAAAGCAACTACAAGACTTTTAGAAGACATATGAAGGCAGCCCTGTTCAGGGAAGCTTTGGATATTTGACAGACTGTTGTATTTTAATATTTTTTTGGAAACCGCCCAGAGTGGCTGGGGAAACCCAGCCAGATGGGCGGGGTATAAATAATAAATTATTATTATTATTATTATTATTATTATTATTATTATTATTATACAGGGCTGCCTTCAGATGTCATAGATATTTGGTGAAGATCGATAAAAAAATCCATTATATTAGGGGAAATTGTGCTCCTTCTCTCTGTCCCTTCCTCCTCCTCCTCCTCCTCCTCCTCCTCCTCCTCCTCCTCTTCTTCATCTTACAGTCAAGCCTCAGATCCCGAGCGCCTCCGTTATATTGCATTTCGGCTCCCAAATGCCGAAAACCCGGAAGTAAATGCTCAGGTTTTTGTACGCTTCGCGGAAGCCAAATGTCCAATACAGCTTCTGCTTGAGTGCAGGAAGCTTCTGCAACTAATTGGAAGCTATGCCTCGGTTGTCGAACATTTCGGAAGCTGAACGAGCTTGTGGAACAGATTATGTTCAACAACCAAGATTTGACTGTATTATTATTATTATTATTATTATTATTATTATTATTATTTGTTAGTCACTTTATCTTGTCCTGGGCAACCCAAAGCAACTTAACAATCAAACTTATTTAATGCATTAAATAAATTAAATACATTGCCTGCATAGTCCTGGCGGAATAGAAAAGTTTTCAGCAGGTGCGTAAAAGTTGACACAGAAAGCGCCTGCTGAATCTCTGTTGGCAGGGAGCTCCACAGGATTGGGCTGATGGCACTCAAGGCTTGGTTTCTTGTCGTTGTCAACTCAGGAAATGACCAGCGACACTCCTGCGGATGTTCTCAGTGATCGAGCTGGGGTAAAAGCATGCAGGCAGTCCCCGAGGTACCCTGGCTTTGTAAATTAATACAATAACCTTCAACCTGGCTTGGTAGTAAGTGGGCAGCCTGTGCAACTGCTTTAACAATGGCATCCCATGTTCTCAGCCAGAAGCTCCTGTCAGCACCCTGCTCGCTGCATGCTGAGCCATCTAGATCAGGGGTCAGCAAACTTTTCCAGCAGGGGGCCGGTCCATTGTCCCTCAGACCTTGTGGGGGGCCGGACAATATTTTTTTGGGGGAAATAATGAACGAATTCCTATGCCCCACAAATAACCCAAAGATGCATTTAAAATAAAAGCACACATTCTACTCATGTAAAAACACGCTGATTCCTGAACCATCCATGGATTTAGAAGGTGATTGGGCCAGATCCGGTCGCTGGGCCTTAATTTGCCTACCCATGATCTAGATCTTCCAAACCAGACCCAAGGGCAGCCCCACACAGAGCGCACTGTAGTAATCAGTGTTGCCTGCGCAGAACCGATCAGGATGGGGTCAAGACTAGAATGGGCTGCTTCAACCATCGTTAAAAGGTAAAGGTAAAGGGACCCCTGACCATTAGGTCCAGTTGTGACCAACTTTGGGGTTGCGGTGCTCATCTCGCTTTATTGGCCAAGGGAGCCGGCATACAGCTTCCGGGTCATGTGGCCAGCATGACTAAGCCACTTCTGGCGAACCAGAGCAGTGCACGGAAATGCTGTTTACCTTCCCGCCGGAGTGGTACCTATTTTTCTACTTGCACTTTGACGTGCTTTCGAGCTGCTAGGTTGGCAGGAGCAGGGACCAAGCAACAGGAACTCACCCCGTCGTGGGGATTCGAACCGCCGACCTTCTGATCAGCAAGTCCTAGGCTCTGTGGTTTAACCCACAGCGCCACCTGCATCCACTGTCAATGGTAGTCATCTAGGAAGATGGGGGGACATCTTCCCAAACAGCCCTGTTGGAGAGAATCAGTACTCCCTTCCAGTTCCTTCCAGATTATGCTGAAAGGGATTGTCTCCAGAAGGCAGTGGCGCTCCATGGGGGAAGCCAGTCTGCCCCCACTCCGTCAGTGTCACCCCCTCTCATCCTGCCTCTGTGAGACTCAGTGTGGCCGCATTCATTCTGGCTCGCTCATTGTCAGCCCACCTGCGCATTGATTTCTTCCCCCATCACACATCAGTGAGAGCACCAGAGAGCCTAAACATGCCATTGTTGTTTAATAACTCACATTTCAACAGAGGATCAGCCTGAGACACCAAGAGCTGACAGAAATGTCACATGCTGAGCAGTATTGAGTTTGGGTGTGCTCTGAAAGCTGAGCCGTGCAGCCCTTTTCAAAACCACCAGTGGGGAGAGGGGTTGCTGCATTCAGGACCTGGGTGTGGGGTTTGCATTGGGGCATCTGGTTGGCCACTGTGAGAATAGGATGCTGGGCTAGATGGGGCTGTGGCCTGATCCAAAAGTGCTCTTTCTATGTTCTTAATCCCAAGTTAAGTGCCCCTTCTGACCCACTGATTGTCCCCTGCAAAAAAAACCCTCCTTCCCCTGTCTCCATTAGCATGCTGTTGTCTGTCTCGTGACACAATGGAGTGTGCCTCCAGGGGCAGGGGCGTAGCGTGGGTTGCTAGTGCCCGGGGCACTAACCCTAACACATAACTCCCAACCCCAAACCATCACCAACGTTCCCAGATGTGCACTTGATCCAGAGGAAGCCACATGGCCAGCAGTGCATTCAATGAGGCCCATCAGCCTTGGGAAGCCCCATAGGAGGGGCCTAGGAAGCCCCACGCCTCCTCCAGGAAGGCCATAGCTGCAGAACACGAGCGAGCTAGTGCTTCCTGCAAGTCGCCTGACTGGAGGGAGGAGGGAAGGAGGCAGACTCCACCGAGAGTTTGGATTTGGATTTGATATCCCGCTTTATCACTACCCTAAGGAGTCTCAAAGCGGCCAACAATCTCCTTTCCCTTCCTCCCCCACAACAAACACTTTGTGAGGTGAGTCAGGCTGAGATACTTCAGAGAGGTGTGACTAGCCCAAGGTCACCCAGCAGCTGCATGTGGAGAAGCGGGGAAGCGAACCCGGTTCACCAGATTATGGGTCCACTGCTCTTAACCACTACACCGCACTGGCCTGTCTTCCGCCTCAACAGTCTCCCCTCCTCCTCTGCTATTGAACTATTGAAGCTGCGTTCTGCTTACTTAAGAAAAGCGGTGCTTTTCTTTTGCAATTTTGCATCCTCCCCAAAATTTGCTCTCTGGCCAATCGCCCCTCTCGCCCCCCGCAAGCTATGCCACTGTCTGGAGGGTTAAGTCAAGCCACTGTGCTAGCAGCACCAAAGTGACCTCTGCAGGGCACAAGACTGGGCAGTCTGTATGGAGGTCCTGGGCTACCCAGACAATAAGGCCCCCGCTCTCAGCCTCGCTGATGTGGTCCAAAGGAAAGTAGAGCAATACTATTGGCACCAGCTTGGCTGCAGGAGTTGCCAGGAGGAGGAGTACCAGGTGCCATAGCTACGAATAAATAAATAAAGAATGTGGCACTATGCAGACCCCACCTCCCGAATTTAATTTTTTTAAATAATATTTTTATCAAATTTTCAACAAAAATACAAAACAAACATTAAAAAACACAACATCCACAAAGAAAAATATATATAAAAACAATATCAAATCCATAAAATGGGATTCTCCAAATCCCGTGACTTCCCTCTCCTCCCCTCCCCTGGCTCCTTAAATTTCTTTTTCAACTGCGTATCATTTCTACTCCAAATTATTTATTCTACCTCAAATTTCATACATTATTTCTAAAATTACAAGTGTTCTTAAAATCCTGCCAATGTATTAACCTGTTTACAATCCTTTTGTAAGTATATAATAAGCATTTCCCGTTCTTTTTTAAATCTCCCCAATTTAAAATTTAAACAGAGTTCCTAGAGCAAATTCCGATCCTGAAATTGTGGGATTTTTAACAGTTTTGCAGTGCATTTTGTAGGAAGAGGTGTAGGTTCTTGGCTGGATTTATATACCGAAGAATGAAATATGAGAACCTTCTCTATGGAGGGCAAAGCTATCGATGGCTCCCCACTGCAATGACCATGCTCTCCTTCCACTGCTGGAGGCCATATGCTTTTGAATACCAGATGCTAGGAATCACATGTGGGCGAAATTGCTGTTGTGCTCAGGTCCTGCTTGCAGGCTTCCCACTGGGGCACCTGGTTGATTGGTAAACCAAAATTATACTCCCCTGCTTGCAGTCCACAGTGGTACAGTCCATTCTAATGCCTGAGGAGGACTTTACCACCTCATTGTGTTGCACAGGGAGGCTGTACCTTATTTATTGCGCAAAGGATTGCGCAATAAATATATTTCCTTGGAAGTAAATTCCACTGCCTACTTCCACTGCCTAGGTGAATATCTTGGTTTCAGTTCCTCCCAGTTCCTTATCTTTCCAATCTTGTGTTCGGTTTTCTGCATTTCCAAAAGAGTTTGCAATTTTAAAACATCCGCATGAAAATTAATCAGCGTTGAATGCAAATGTTTTGCAACACTATGTTTTGCAACACAATTTCCCCTCATTTTTGTATATCGGTTTCACTAATACCTGAATTTTTTTTTGCACACTGCACACCAGTAATATGCATGTAATTTGGGTGGGGAACAGCATTGCAAAATTGGGTGAAGTGTGAATTTCAAAGGATGGCTGTGTTTTAGTTCGTGGACGGTTTCAGAAAGCGCAAATCAGTTTTTGAATGTGAACTGCATCAAATTGCTCCTCCATTCCTGCTCCTTAATAATGGCATTTGAAAGACTGCAGCCTCCAGAAGAGCCATAAGAAGAACTCCGCCGGATCAGGCCCCAAGTCCATCCAGCTCAGCAAGAAAAAGCCAGCAGCCAACCACTGATGAAACGTTGGACCACAAATTCCTCATTCAGCAGGCAACTAGTTACGCAGCCCAGGGGAGATGGTTGGAGAAATGGGACGGTGTCTCTTTAAAAATAAATAAAGACCAAATTAAAAAAAAAAAAAAGGAGAGAGAGAGAAAGAGAGAGGCAATAAGTATATGCAAATGTGTTGAGCGGTACATGGCTGTCTGTGAAACAGATGAAGAAGGGAAAAAATGCTCGAAGCTAAAGAGAGGAACGAGGCAGCAATAGCTGACCCCGGGGTTAATAATTTTTACTTTTCCATCTCGCTCCATCCATAAAATAGGGGAGGGGGGAGAGGGAAGGAATAGAAATGAGCAGATCCCTTGAATGGAAGCCTTGCCACCATTCCTGAAAACGCTACTTGCAGGAGGTGGAGTGGAGATCCTTGTGGGGGCAACTCTCAGCACCTGCGATTCCTAGCAACTGGCATTTACAAGCGGACTGGGGTTGCCAGGTCAGGAGCTTCCTGGGCTCTGAGATTTCAGAACGCAAACCTATGACCTAGGGGCAGCCTCTGGCGATGTCAAGGGGGCAGGCACCAGTCAGAGTGGGCAGGCTTCTTGTCTGCTGTTCCAGAGGGTAGGACCCAAACCGATGGATTCAGATTACAACAAGAATGGAGATTCGCCCAACCTCACAATGTCTATGACAGCAGTGTACCGACCTGAAGGAAGGCAGACCCTCCAAGTGTCCCTATTTTCCAGGGACATCCCTGATTTAGAGAAGCTGTCCCAGTTTCGGATTTGATCCCAGAATGTCCCACTTTTCCTTATTTTCATTGGAGGAATGTTGGAGGGTATGGAGTGATCCGACCCCCGAGGCATCTGAAGGCAATCCTGCATAGGGAAGGTTTTTTTAAATGTTTTATTATGTTTTCATATACTGTATTTTTTGCTCTATAAGATGCACCAGACCATAAGACGCACCTAGTTTTTGGGGGAGGAAAACAAGAAAAAATAATATTCTGAATCTCAGAAGCCAGAACAGCAAGAGGGATTGCTGCGTAGCGATCCCTCTTGCTGTTCTGGCTTCTGGGATAGCTGCACAGCCTGTATTTGCTCCATAAGACGCACACACGTTTCCCCTTACTTTTTGGGAGGGAAAAAGCGAGTCTTATAGAGCACAAAATACGGTATGTTGGAAGCTGCCCAGAGTGGCTGGAGGAACTCAGTAAGACATGTGGTTTAAGACCAGGGGTCAGCAAACTTTTTCAGCAAGGGGCCGGTCCACTGTTCCTCAGACCTTGTGGGGGGCCAGACTATATTTTCTCGGGGGAAATGAACGAATTCCTATGCCCCACAAATAACCCAGAGATGCATTTTAAATAAAAGGACACATTCTATTCAAGTAAAAACACATTGATTCCTAGACTGTCTGTGGGCCAGACTGAGAAGGCGATTGGGCCTGATCCAGCCCCCGGGTCTTAGTTTACCTACCCATGTATAAGACTATGTTATTCCAAGATCATGTTCAAAATTAGGGGTCATCTTATACATGGGTAGTGCAATGTGGGATAGGTTGCTGGGATAGGTTGCTGCTGCGAGTTGGAGATTGTTATTGGTGGCTGCTGCAAGGACTGTTGTTGATTGGCTGTTGTTGCGGCAATTGGACGTTCAATATGCTGCTTTTTTCGGCGATGGGACAGAGGATAGGCTGCTCTGGAGACGCGCATTGTTGGTCTGGCAGGTGAGCGTTTTTTGGCATTTCCACCCCCCCAAGAAAAAGCTAAACAATTCTGTGCAATCCTCCCCCAACAAAGCTCAACAACTTTGGGGAATCTCCCCCCCATTTTCCTAATTTTGAGTCCCCCAAAATAGGGGACATGTTATACATGGAAAAGTACATTAGTAAAATTATCATTATGGAATGGGACGTCCCTTTTTATTGGAGAAATGTTGGAGGCCTCTATGAATTGAAAACAGAGACGTTGTCTGTACGTGTGTTAATTATGGAAATCCTTCAATAGAAACAATAAAAAGAAGATTCTGACTTAACATTAGGAAGAAAAAACTGAATGCAAGAACTATTTGATAGTGGGACTCTTATTCATTGGATTTTTAAACAGAGGTTGGAAGGGATTCTTTAGCTGTGAATCCTGAATTGCAAGGGGTTTGATTAGATAACCCTCGGAGGTAACTTCCCTAGAAGCCAACTCCTAGGGCTTCAACCGCCCAATAAAATATTTGAGGGCCCCCCCAAAAATGGATGGGCAATGCCATTCAAATACTGTTTGTGCACCATGTCATGTGATTGATTATGTGGGGTGGGGATTACCTGCCCCCCCCAATATTTTATTCAAGTTGGCACCCCTGGCACATTCTGAGCTTACGGTTCTATGAAACACAACCATCTTTTCTTTTCTTTGTTGGAATTTTAAAAGAGTTATAGATTTATTTATTTATTTTTAAATGTTTTTTATTTGGTTTCACAAATTCATTCATGCTCAAAATCACAAATAATAAAAAATTACACAAGATTCTTCCGAATCTCTAGACTTCCCTCCTCCCCTCCATGGGTTCTTTAGTTAATCTTTCCAGCTGCATACTATAAATCCTCCTAATTTTTCAGTCCTCCATTGTGTCCAAAGTCTATGCAACATTACAAGAGTTATTTAAGACCTGCCAAAGAGTTGAGATGTTTACAGTGGTCTCTCAAATATAATATAAATTTCTCCCATTCTTCATTGAAGTTTTGATCCTCCTGGTTTCTGATTTTCCCAGTCGTTTTTTCCATCTCTGCATAGTCCATTAGTTTAATCTGCCAGTCCACTCTGGTAGGGATCTTATCTTCTTTCCAACTCTGGGCAAGCAACATCCTTGCAGCTGTTGTAGCATACACAAACAGTCTTTTCTGTTCCTTCAAAGGCTACATTTTTCTGAATTCTGCAATGCAGTTCTGCGATCCTGTAACTGGAAAAATGGCAGAAACTGGCAGAAGCTGCAATTGGTAAGTAGGCCTAGTCCTAGTGGCAGATGAGGAAAAGGGTTCCTCGGCTCCTTCGCCTTCAGACCTAAGAAGATCCTTTCTTGAGGGTCTGTTATTTATTCTCCAATACGTATCCCCCCCCCCAAACACACACTGTAGAAGTGACACAGCATCTCCCTTCTTCCCAGTTAATCCTGCAGGGGTCGATTTCTTTCACTCAGGTGGTTCTCCTAACCTGGGATTCCCTGCACAATCTCCACCAGCCTGATTAAAGAGAGCAGAGGGAAAGGGCTTTTGCCACACGTAATGGCTGCCCCTTTGCCATGTGCCGGCAGGAGAGGAGCCCAGGGCAGCCGTTCGCCCGCCTCCCTCCCCGCCTGTGTGATTTTGAACACACAGCTGGGTGGAGAAATTGCAGGCTCCCAGGCACGCTTTGCAGAAGCTGGCCGAGGGGGAAGGGGAAGTGAAGCCTGGATCAAACTCTTCCTGATTTGCATCTTTTCAACAGAAATCTGGTGTTTTACTACCCCCTTAAAAAAGGAAAGGTGGATAGCAAGAGAGCAGCATTTCCCCAAACACTGAGAGCTGAAAGGCATTGTCCCCTTCTGCTGAATGAAATCTGAAGGCACCCTCTCCACTTACTCGGAGCTGTTCTGTGTAGGGATGTAGGAAGCTGCTTTATACAGAGTCAGACCACTGGTCCATTTAGCTCAATATTGTCTCCACTGACTGGCAGCAGCTCTCCAGGATTTCAGGCAAAAAAGATCCCAGCTAAAGATGCTGGGGACTGAACCAGGAACCTTCTGCATGGAAAGCTGATGCCCTATTACTGAGCTACAACTCTTCTCTTAAAATAGGAATTGCTGCCTTCATCACCTTGCCGACAAAGGTTTGTATAGTTAAAGCTATGGTTTCCCCAGTAGTGATGTATGGAAGTGAGAGCTGGACCATAAAGAAGGCTGATCGCCAAAGAATTGATGCTTTTGAATTGTGGTGCTGGAGGAGACTCTTGAGAGTCCCATGGACTGCAAGAAGATCAAACCTCTCCATTCTGAAGGAAATCAGCCCTGAGTGCTCACTGGAAGGACAGATCCTGAAGCTGAGGCTCCAATACTTTGGCCACCTCATGATGTTGGGAAAGATTGAGGGCACAAGGAGAAGGGGACGACAGAGGACGAGATGGTTGGACAGTGTTCTCGAAGCTACAAACATGAGTTTGACCAAGCTGGGGCAGGCAGTGGAAGACAGGAGTGCCTGGCGTGCTCTGGTCCATGGGGTCACGAAGAGTCGGACACAACTAAACGACTAAACAACAACAACCATCTAGCTCAGTACTGGCTACACTGACCCCGGCAGTGGCTCTCTAAGGTTGCAGGCAGGGGACGTTCCCAGCCCTATCTGGCGATGCTGGGGATTGAACCTGGGACCTTCTGCATGCTAGGCAGAGGCTCTCCCCTTTAGCTACAACCATACCATTCAGGAGGACTTCTATAAGGGCATACATAGCTAGGCTCTCAGCAATTTAGGAACAGAGGAAGCTGCCTTACACTGAGTCAGACCATAGCTAACTTCTGTTTATGCTGGCTGGTAGTGACTCTCCAGAAGTGTATTTCCTGCTCCTACCTAGAGGATGTTTGGGACTGAGCCCAGGATCTTCTGAGGCTCAACCACTGAGCTACAATGGCTGAGAATATGTCTGCACTAGAGTTCTTCAGGTTTCTCTCACAGCATTTCTCCCAAGTCTCTAGATAGTAACTCTTCCTCTCTCTGTCTACATGTCTTAAGAGTATGTATGCTTTATTTTCAGCACCCAGGGCTGGCTCCAAAGGGTGGTATGGTTGACCATTTGCTAGGGTCCCAGGAGCAACAGCATGCCCACTGCCCTGATAGTGCAACCATTATCGCTTTGCACAGAGTGTCCAAGAAGATTGGATGCAGCCAAAGAGAATTTCAAGGAGGACGTGGACCAACTGAAACACACCTACAGGAGGTGATATCATAATGTCATCATACAAATCCATGGTGTGGCTGCATTTGGAATTATGTGTACAGTTCTGGTCAGCTCACCTAAAAAAAAAGATACTGTAGAGTTGGGGAAAGCTCATAAATGTCATGGACTGGTTGGACACAGAAGAATAGTGAGGGTAACCAGCTGGGGAACCACCAAGGGAAGAAGACTCAGAGCCAGGGGAGTGGTAGTGGGACAACGATAAGTTGTCAGAGGGAGAAGATTGGGAAAAGGAGGTGTTGGAAGGGGAGGAGGTAACAGGGCGTAGTGAATGGGAAGAGTCTGTGCCAGAGGGAAGTCCAGAATCGGGGGCAGAAGCTGAAGCAGGAGGGTGAGAGGAGGGAGGCCAAGAGGCAGAGATGAGTCAGGCTGGTGAAGAGTCCACTCCTGCTACCATAAGCTCCCCTCTCCACTTCTCTCCCAGAACCAGAAGAGGCATGAAAAGGGGAGAGGAGAGACGTGCAGACGCAGCTTCTGATTGCTGGGGGGAAAGCCTAGAGAGGAGGGAATGTAGGCAGCTGTGGGGAGGTGGTCTCAGCAACTGTTTCATGGGAGCAAGACCTACTGGAGATGGATTTCTGTGCTCATCGGGCATGAAACTCCTGTGCTGATCGTGTTTTTGCTAACAAAGAGTTAACTCCAAGTTTCATGGTGTGATTTACTTGCTGGCTCGCTCCTGACAATATAAGAGCAACTGAAATGATCAAGCTGGTGGAGTGACTGAGAGCAAGATGGAGGGGAGGTCACAGCCCTGCAGGGCTCATCTTATGTTCTTATAAGTAACCGCAAAGGTGGGTGGGGCTGCTGCTTTCATGCCCTGCCTGTGAGCTTCCTGGAGCCATTTGATTGGCTCCTGAAGGATTCAAGATGTTAGACTGCAAGACGGGTCTTTGGCCTGATCCATCACAGCTTATATATTCTTATCCCTGACCATCGGCCACGCTGGCCGGGAGTCCAACTGTTGGTGGCCCAGTGCCAACTGCAAGTGGAACCAACCCAGTCTATAGATTTGCCCTTCTCCCCCTCCCTGCCCCTGCAAGGGGCAACACTGAGACAAGGGAGGAGGAGCAAGCAGGTGGGCAGGGCCACCTCCTGGACTGGCTGCACAGAAGAAGGCAAGCAGGTGGGGACTGGCTGATGGCAGCCTGAGGTTGGTGGATCTGTGCCCTTTTGCCCCAATACACCAGCCTCTCGTGTGTGTGCGTGTGTGTGTGTGTGTGTGTGTAAAAGAGATACAGTGGTACCTCGGGTTACATATGCTTCAGGTTACAGACTCTGCTAACCCAGAAATCGTGCTCCAGCGGTGCGGCAGCAGCAGGAGGCCCCATTAGCTAAAGTGGTGCTTCAGGTTAAGAACAGTTTCAGGTTAAGAACGGACCTCCGGAACGAATAAAGTACTTAACCCGAGGTACCACTGTATTACCATACTTACTGGAGAATGTGTGGGGGTCCTGCAACAAAATGTTGCAGCAGTGAGAGCTCTCTGTTCACGATCCTCCCCCTGCTGAGTTCTGCAAGGGCAACACTGAAACTGAGGAAGTGGGAGAAGCTGATGGGCAGGGACACCGCCCTCTGGGTTGCTGTACAGAGGAAGGCAGGCTAGCAGGTGGGGGCAGGTGCGGGCAAGCTGAGGTTGATGGGGCAGCGCCCTTTTGGCCCTGGCGGACCAGCCTCCCTTGGATCATGTCCTGGGTAATAGCTTTGTCGCTATCTTGACCTGCCTGCAGGCCTGTGACCCCCTGCTCCATCAATTTCCTAAGGAGTATAAGAGGCGGTTTATTGCAGCTACAGAAACCCACTCGCCCCCCCCCGCCCCGGCAACCCTCCTCCTGCTTCTCCCACCTCCCATACAACCCCGAGTCCAGCCTTGTTAAGTTTATGGCCCCCTCCAAAGGCCATAAAAACCCACACTCAGCGAAACCCACAGCTCCTCAGGCTGCCGGCTTCCGCCATGGGGAAAGGGAAGGGGACACACACACACACACACACCCCGACGCGCACACCCCGACGCGAGCGCGCCCTCCCCCTTCCCCCCTCTGCCAGATCAATACGGAGAGCACGAAGCTGACACTGAGTCTCATTAGGGGTTAGTTTTCATCTCTCTGCTCCCTGGCAGCCTTCACATTATCCCATAAAATTTATTTACTATTTCATGAATACATAAGCAGCAGGCAAACGCTGGCTTTTTATATATTTACACTGTATATATTTCACCGGAGAGTTATGTATGTCTCTGAGGCAGAGCAGAGGGAGGAGGCAGGGAACTCAAGCAGACGGGAAGAACAGCTGTGAGAGAGAGGGAAAGGAGAGAGAGAGAAAACGGGGAGGGCGGGGGAAAGGTAAGAGATGGGTATCTGGGCACGTTGGTCCAGTGTCCTACCTCAGCATGGAGAAATGGCCAAATTCGTGGAGAATGAGGCTATCAAGTGCTACTGGCCATGGTGGCTGTGCTCTGCCTCCATGGTTGGAAATTTCAATTTCCTGGAAATTGCAGGTGGGGAGAGGGCTCTTCTGCTCGGATTCTGTTTACAGGTTTCCCATAGGCATCTCGGTGACCACAGGATCCTGGACTAGATAGGTCCCTGGCCTGATCCAGCAGGCTCTCCTTATGTACCTTCCAAGACCTTCTGACCACATTTGTCCATGTCCTTGGTGCCAGCATGCACCAGACCGCTGACTACTGTAAAAAGGTAACATTTGCATGTCATTGCTCCACCCACTTTCCCCTCTGGCCCTGCCTATCACTGGCACGTGGCCTTGGAAGGTTGCTTAGAAGGGAATGTGCCCACCCCACGACCCTGGGCTAAATAAAGTTCCTTTTGACATCTTCTCCTGAGCTTTAATAGAAGCTCGGGCATCCAGCGAGGCTGCAGAGTACAGACCATCTGAAAGACGGCTTGCAGCTTGAAAGGAAGACACACATAGACATCTCTTGGCTATCTCCAAGGTGCGGCAAATGCAACAAAACAGAGGCACATTGTCCTTCACACTGGAGGTAGTGAAAAGCCATTGGTAGCTCTTTCCTCCTTGAATTGGCCAAGCCCTCTTTGAAAGCCATCCAAGTTGGTGGCTCCTTGAAAGCTCCTTTATCATTTCTGGACACAATTCCTTTCCTAGCAAATGGATGGAGAAGATTCATGGGAGGGGTTATCAGTCCACCCTGGTAGACCGAGAGGAGCAAAGAGCTCTGGCGATCTTCTTGATGGAACCCAAGAATGCTGAATTGCTTTTGTCTTTGCATCGGGAGAGCAGGGCCAGACACCACTGGCCACTTCTTCCTCCTAACCGGAGGCCTTGCCATTAAACCATCAGCCTGATGGAACGACACAGGCCTTGTGGTGAAGGGCTGTAGCTCAGTGGCAGAACATCTGCTTTGCTTGCAGAAGGTGTCAGGTTCAGTCCCCAGTGACATCTCCGGGCAGGGTTGGGAGAGACTTGCAGAGCCACTGCCAGGTAGTGTAAACCATGTTGAGCTATGGGCCAGCAGCCTGACTCAGGATAAGGCTCCCTGCCTCCCTAGTGGCATGTTCTCCCCATGACCCATCAACTGTATCTCACCTGCAAGCCTGCTATCTTCTGCACTCGCTGAAATCAGTCTGGCCCCCTTCCAGATTGTATCTATCCTGCCTGCTCTTCATCTGCAGTCCCTGCTTCTCTTCCCAGGCCTGCCTGCCTCTCTCTCTGCTTTGCTAACCCAGCCATTGTCCATCCATCAGCCTTCTGGGCCAGCCACATCTTTTATCAATCAACGTCTTCCTCCTTCCGGGGAAAACGGATGGCTGTGTGTAAGCTACACAAAGGCATTGGCCCACATGGAGCAACGTATGTCTGAAAGGAAGCAGAGGAACTTGCCTTACACTGGGTATTTGCCCAGTGTTGTTTAGAAGGGATGTATCTCAGTCTGCTTTGCAACAGAAGGTTCCAGCTTCAATCCCTGGCACCCCCAGGTAGGATTGGGAATGTCCCTTTTTGGACCTCCTGGAGAGCTACAGTCATTGTGGACAATACTGATCTAGATGGAGCAATGGCCTGAATCAATATAAGGTAGGTTACCTGTGTCTTACATCTACTGGCAGTGGATCTCCAGAGTCACCTGCTAAAAGATCCCTTAAACTGGAGATGCCAAGAATGGAACCTTCTGCATGCAAAGCACATCCTTTAGCTAGCTACCTGAGCTGTGGCTCCTCCCCATGAGCTCCAACACAGTTGGGAATCAGGTTGGGATGGAGGACTGCACTTGAGAGTGTCAGCAGAATCCAGGGAGCAGGTGTGCCTCGAGGTGGCATGGGTGGGGATGCAAGGTCAAAGAGGCAAGAGGATGGAACAACTCGCCTCTGAGGAAAAGTATGCCAGTGTTTGGGGCTTTTTAGTTTAGGGGAAAGGTGAATCAGGGATGGTATGATACAAGTCTATAGAATCATACCTGGCACAGAAAAAGTGGATGCAGAAAGGTTCCCCCCC